AGGTCCTTTTGAAGGGAACTGTTAAAAGGCAATTGGTGATTTTCCATCTTCTATTTTTGTCATAAAATGGAATTACTTAGATACATACCTATTTGTAATGTTTAGATCTCGTATGTTGTAGTTTTACGAAATGTTTTGCTAGTAGGCTATAATTTAAATTAATAACACCTTTAGCTTTGATTAAATTATGTAAATATTTAAATAAAAAAACGTCTTTAACTTGAGATAGGTATTTCGCGGTGGCTCCGAGGTTGAAGACGCCTCCTTGTCATGCAAGAGGGTGCGGGTTCGAAACCTACCAACGGCAAGTACCAATGTGACTTTTTCCGAGTTATATGTACTTTCTAAGATATTTAGACACCACTGACCAACGGTGAAGGAAAAACATCGTGAGGAAACCTGGGCTTATAATTTCTAATCGTTAGTTAATAAGGTTGAAATCGCCAACCCGCATTGAGCAAGCGTGGTGATTAATGCTCTAACCTCTCCATGTGAGAAGAAGCTTTGCTCGGCAGTGGGCACTTATAAGCTGTTGATGATGATGATGAGATAGGTATAGGTTCTACTTAAGTGTATAAAAATAAAACAACTAATAGATTAAAAAATTGTATTTCCAAGTAAATTCTAAATGGTATTGCATTTGAATCTAAATATTTCGATTACATCAATAATATCATCACTCTTAGTAACGTCATTAACACTAAAAACCAATAAAAACACGGAAATAAACACTTGACAATCTTGTTAAACAATTCAATTGTAAATATTTGAACAATACATATTCAATTTAAGACTTTATTACTATGTATCAAGGCATCTTTTATAGCACCATTTTATTTTTCTTAATACCTAAGTACTACGGAAGTATATATTTTTTATTTATATAATAACAAAGTAAGGATACTGTTAAAAACAGTAAATAATAATAAATATTGTAAAATTTCGATGCATTCAGGGTCAATTTGTCAAATTGTATATTGTCGACTATATTTTGTATATTGCCGATGCATGCTATATTGTCGACTGTAAACTTGGGATTTGCCAGTTGACCCTGAACATTCACAATTTCAGAGCCGTTAGCTATAGCAACCAGCCATCTCCAACAGTATTGATATAAGAATAAACATATTATTTAAAAAGTAAATAGAAATTCAAAAAGGAATAGGTAAATGTACCGCATTAAACTGTCAAACACCAAGCGGTCACCGGTGACCGCAACCTATTGTTTTATAATTGTGTCTATAAAACCGGTACTCGACGAGTTAAAATGTCGCATTCATGGTTCAATACAAAAGTAAACCAAATTCACACGAAGGCCTCTGTATATAAGATGTACACACGGCCACACATCAATCTATACAAAACCAGTTTATCCTGGTGTCGCTCCGCATCATCTTTCCGCACATTTAACGTTCAGTTTATACTGGTTATGTAAAGCTCGACGTGTAGCCGTGTGTACAAAACAATAATGACATTATCTAAAAACTAGAGTGCGTCCAACATGTGGCCAGACACTGTACATCCTGAAAACAGAATAGGGTAGACGACTAATTTTTATTTTAATATCCGTCTGGTAGATTATTTAAAAACATTGGACACGTATTTTTTATTTTCTTACGGAAACGAATAGTTTCGAAGATATATTGGTTTGAAATGTCGCGTGACGTCACTTCTCAGTACATTTTATACTAAGAAATGACGTTTTAGCCCCCACTCCTAAACTTTGATTCGTTTTATCTAAGTATTGTTTTATTATATGACAAAATAAAAAAATACGTGTCTAATATTTTTTAATTACCTACCTTACGGACTAATTAGATTTTTAATTTTCATACCCTGTCATCATCCCCATTGTTAATAATATTTTCCGTCTCAGAATTCTTATTAGGTTTATCGAAAATGAAAATTGTTTTTTTTTATGGAATAGGAGGCAAACGAGCAGACTGATTATCTAATAGTAAGCGATCAGCGCCGCCCATGGACACCCGCAACACCAGAGGAGTCACAGTTACGTTGCCGGCCTTTTAAAAAGGAGTACGCTCTTTTCTTGAAGGTTTAAAGGTCGTATCGGTTTGGAAATACCGCCGACGACAGATCATTCCACAGTTTTGCTGTGTAACTAAAGCGTGTTGCTACTGGCTACGAAAATGGTGTAATGTTATGTTAACAAGTAGATACAAAATTGCTATCACTAGAATGCAACTGCGTCTGACCTATAAACATCGATAATAAAGAATAATTTGATAAGAACTAAGTTTTTTGTTGTTCGGAGTGTTGCATTATGTACCTACTTATCACGTAGTTAACATAACATCACGCCATTTAATGCACTCACAGCATACTGAGCTAGAATGTGCCACAAATTTTTACTAATAAAATCAAACATCGTGTTGGTAATTTTAAATTTCAAATTTCAACAAAAACCCTAATATTTTATCTAAACCCAAATTATGTTGCCAAGTCGTGAGCTTCACAAATAGATTTTTTACTTAATGTACACTAATTTTATTACAAAATAACAAAAAACAAAAACTTATTTGTTTTGTAGCTTTCGTGGGACATACTAAATAAACTATTATGTTTTCGGCTTACTCACGTAATTATTTAACGAGGAACTCGACTAGTTTCAAGCCATGCTAGAGGTTCATATTCATGAGCAGCATTTCGCGATCCGCGACGCGGCGACTGTCGCGCTGCTACTGAGTTCCTCGTCAAATTATTACGTGAGTACCCCGAAAACATTATATTGAAATCTTATTAAAGAAAATCACGATTTGGCAATCAAATTTTGTCGTTATGGAGGCCACATGTTAAAGGTTTGCATGTCAGGTTAAAACCGTCGTGTAAACCCTAACGTGTATGTCCACTAGCGTTGTTGGGACTTTCCGCCTTGCATACGGTGATAGCAGACACTTGGCAACCAATACACCTAAATATACTAGCAGCCCGTCCCGGCTTTACACGGGGTAGACAATAATTTATTTTTGGAAATTTGGATTGTTGTAGTGACATAACTACAATAGTTGGACATATGCTACCGCGGAGTTTTTTGTAGACATTATGATGTTCTTCAATATTGTTGTACATTATTTTGTTCTATCGCTAGTAGTTTCGCCAGCGCATTCGACGAAAGACATTTTAAAGACTCATTTTTCTACACCTTCGGTTATATTGTTGAAATTTTACCAAGGATCCCTAATTTTTTTCAAAATGAAATGTAGCCTATGTCAAATTGGAAGAATGTAGCATTCTATTGGTGAAAGATTTTTTTAAATCAGCCTAGTACTTTTTGAGCCTATTCATTACAAACATACAAAAATAGGTACAAATCTTTCCTTTTTATAATATTAGTATAGAAGTGTCGAATCCACTGAGCAATAATTGATACGCAACATGTTGTGCACAACAAAGTGCAACATGTTGGTAGTAGCAGTGTACTGATTTTGTAGATATATAACAATGCCAAGCAACAATGTGCTGATACATGACGCGCGACAAGTATTGTTAAGAGGAGACGACTTTTTAATTTACAAACATATTATTATGTACATTTATTTTCTTGTCAAAGCTTATGTGAAACACAGAAACACAAACAAAATATGAAGCCACATACATAGATCCAATCTATAAAATAATAGTTTTCATAAAATGAGAGCTTGCATAAAACAGAATACAAGATAGGTAATACTACAATGTACAATCAGAATCAAAAACAAATAAAAAAAAACATTCGATTAAAAACTGATATTTTTCATTAAAACTATAAACAAAAACTAAATTAAAAGAAAGTATGCAATAATTGTGATATTAATGTTGTTATCAAAATATACCTATGTCATTAAAATAATCGTTATCGAATATTAATTAATTTATATCGGAGCTTATCACAGGGAGCTTTGGAATATCATTGTGGAATGTTATTAAACTATTTATTATTCATTAATTAATAATAATATCTCCCTTTTAACCTAACGAACGCTGATCTTATTAATTAAAATAAGTGATAAAATCAATTTTTGACACCTTATCGATTAATTAAATGTACTTTCATTGCACTAGAATATTATTTAATTTTTGCGTTTTTTTTGTACTGTCAATGACGTGTTTAACGCAATTCAGGTTGTACTTATTATCCCACAGCACGAAGCAAACGCCCAGCCAATAAATCAAATTTCATGACAATTGGTTCAGCTGTTTTCGAGTTTGTACATAGTGATGTGATACATTTAGGAAATTTATCGTTTTAGATTGCATGTCGTCAGCGTTCGGGAGGTTACTTGGTATAACAATAGTTATACAATACACACCAGTTCAGTTAAAACTAAGTCAAAATTGATACAAATTGTATTATTATCATTACTATATATAAAATTAGAAATAGAAAAGCCTTGAAGTACATATGTATAAAATAAAATACGACTTATTTTATACCTATATATGTATGTAAATTATGATCCGGATCAACTTTATTATTTGATATACATATATATACAAACATACATACATACGAAGTCGAAATGTAATGAAAATAATTGCCAAACCTAAGAGTTCATATAACTTCTAAGTACCATCACATTTATGCTCGTTAAATGCATTGTGTTAATTCATTTAACTAGGATGTCCTATATCTAGTTTAGTCCTAAAATATGGACTAGATATAAATTATGTATGATTCACTACCTCCAACTTTCATTATTAAAATATTTATACTTTAATTTGTAAAGAAGTATTCAACATTTTAACGCATTTCTTACTAAAAAACAGTTGACAAATCTTTACGTCGCTACACTGACGCCCGAATACTGCAGTGCTAGCCAAATGCCATTTAGTGCTTGTCTACATGTAGAATAGAAAACCAAATTATATGGATTTGACGTAAATTTTGACACTTGTCAGTGTCATCCCCATACATTTTGATTTCTACTCTCTCTGTAGACAAGCGCTAAAGTGGTTTTTGGCTAGAGGCCCTGATAAGTTACTGAATAAGTCGCGCTTAAATATTGTTCTGTCAATACAAATTCTTTGTATAAAGACAGCGATGGCACGATATTTAGGTACAAGTTAAAATTGAATAAACTTTCAGTATTTAGGCGTGAGTTTTGCAAACAAATGGATCATTACGACAATATCAACTATAATATCGCTGCGACGTCTATATAAAGATAACTTTACTTATAACTAGGTAATATATCTTTATCCATATACACGAAATGACAAATTAAAATGCATATTTCATTGCTATGAAATCATATTGATATAAAATATTACTTTAGATAATTAATACGATTATAGATACCAATATTAGATATGGTTATCTACCGTCAGAACGCGTCTTATTTAATTCCTTCAAGATGTCGAATTCAATTAAAATTATTGAGGATAAAATCTACTATGACCTGATTCAGATCTCTTTTTAGTAACCATACAGCTAAATCTAAAATATACAATACAACGAATTAATGGGGCATTTATAAATATTGTAATTTATTTACATAAGTTACTTACCATATTTAATTATTATACATTTTTATTCTGGCGTCTATCGACCGGGGCAAGAGCGTAACGGGTTCACAAGACAATCCGAACACAAACTTAAACCTAAACTATAAGAAAATAAGGTAAACACTTCAATGGCTCGCCACTTCTGACTAAAACGTTGAGCTAAAAACTAAACACTGCACTTTCTCTATAGCAGTACTCTGAATACATGTATGTTGTTTAAAATGGTAGTTTCTTTTCAACAGGAACAAAAATAAGCAATTATAATAAACTTACACACGAAATTCACGCAACAATATAATAAAAATACAACCTTCCCTTTTGGTCTACGAGAACATAAAAATAATAGATATATTTCAAAAAGATCCAGGATAAAAAGCACATCAATCCTGGATCTCTTCAAAAACTAGATCACACGAGAATCAAGTCCAAACGGACCCGTCAAAAACCTTCTCACTTGACCGAACTAAAAGTCTATTATGACTTGTTGAATGACTGGATTGACCGAACTATAGGTCGTGATAAGTCCATCGTACGCTGTCACCCCGAGTCGGAATATAGCTCTAAAGGCTTAGGCACACCCAGTGGAAAATTTTCTAGATTTAACCTAGGTCGAAGCCTACAATATTGTCTAGATTGTAGTTAAATATCCTGTAGTCATGTTTATAGAGTTTGTAGAGCCGCCTGATGAGGGGGAGGTCGAGTTGGGAGAAGTACCTGTGCAGTTTCTCTGCGGTGCCCGAAGTATGATCCAGACGTGGGAATTGAATATGGGATGCGTTGATCGTATGCAGTGCTAATGTCGAATCGTCCAGCAAGGTCTCGTATTTACCTGAAATTAAATTAAGGTTTGCATGAGTATGTGTGTGTGTCTTATTTATTTCTCTAGAACAGTCACGTCGGCTTTGCATACATATTTTTTGAAATCGATAGTTTGTATTTCTTGAAATTAATAGCTTAACTTCAAATGAAGGTTATAAAGTTTCTCAGGTTACGCTGTGACATTTAATTGTGAACTAGTTAAAAAAGTGAATAAAGTTAAGGTTTTTATTTCATAAATCCATGCAATAAAAGCCATTGAAGGAAATGTGTGCGACAATATAAATATTAAAATGTGAAATAATGTAAGAATCCAAATCCTCATATCAAAATCGTTGAGCATATTAACTTAACAAAACTTCACAATCCAAAAATCCTTTGTTTAGCAAGGAAGCATACCTTCAAATGCAAAATTGATATGCCGTCTAGATAAAGGCAGGGAACGACCGGACGTAGCGTCAAGAACGCTCCGTTATTATAATATACGAATACTCAGAATTCTGTTTCTAGGAAAACGATGTTAGGCCTTGAAACTGCCGAGTTCTTGATAGGAACTAAACTATAAACATTTTATTCTTTTAATAATAATACAGGAATTTTGAACATCCTTTAATAAATTAGATGCTACGTTAGCGAGTTGAACTAAAACTGAAGAAATTGCGAAATCAAAAACGGGAGTTTTATTTGTAGTAGTTTTTTTTTGAGTATTACTTGGCCGATCCTCAATCATAGTTAAATGAAAACAGACATTTTTAGTTTTTAATGTTAACTTTATTAAACTAAAGACCACGATCCTACGAGCCACGGTCGCTGCCTTACATATTTACAACACGTACAACGTAGAAACTAAGTTTTAATTGGCTATAACTGTGTGTGACATTAATGCAACTCTCCATTTTTAAAGCCAAAATTATCTAGATCATTAATCTGTGTAATTAATTTAATAGTAAAACACAAGTCCCGCCTTTCGCTCACATTATACCTCTTCATCGTAGAGACTAATTAGCATTGCAGCGGCTCCAAAAATTAATCATTTTTAATAACCATTGCTTTTGAAGCCACATTATTCTACCGCTATACTTTCCATCTTTTTCTATCCAACTGAAATTTATGTTGCTATCCTTTTCTGTCTGGCCATGGTTTCCCAAAATACTTAGGCATTCGACAAGCTGTGACTACCTAAAAACGTTCCTAGAATTGTGACACGCGATACTGTCGTCAAAAATATACGGCCTAGTTACTGAACATAGGAATTATAATGTAAAATCTGTTTATGTAGTTTTGAAAATGTACTTGAAAAAATTGTTTTTAACGAGTGTGGAGAAGGCATTAATGATGTGAGCGTTTTTTTACAGTCCACAAGCTAATGCTTCTTCCAAATGTCTTTAGAATTGATTACTATAGCATCAATGCGTGGTCATACAGTTTTTGCAATGATGAAGGCCAAAACAACAGCTTGACAGTTAATATTCTTTATCTAGAATCATCTTTACAGAACTAATAAATTGATGATTTAAAATTGGAACTGCATTTAAGTACTTACGAACATACAAGTCAAGTACACTTGCTTGAATCAAAATGCTGATTTATTCAATACTTTTAACGATCAATATAATAAGGATACCATCACATTTGAGTCGGAAAGATCAAACATCGCAAATCAAAGCGGAGTCTATCCTAATAATAGCAATAAAAATATTATCTTATTACATCACGAGGAGACGTAGAACAGTCAACATAATTACGAATATGTGACGTAGATGGCGTGGTTATAATTACAAAAGGTCAAGGTAAAGCCAATCTGTCTTTACCTCGTCTGACTGTTGAGGCTGCATAGTCCAAAACGTTTCGTTCATGAGACTAAAAAAATCGAGACATAAAGACTATTATATACAGACTGTCGCTAAGCTGAATGCAAAACCTTGAATGATAAATGCATGTCTTAGGGCGCATCCACATATAGCGAATGATCTGCGAATGTACAGCTCGCGAGCCGTTTGCGAGCTGCGCGTGTGCAGTTACGGCAATGGTTTAACGCGCCTCTTTCGTGCACCTCATGCTAGGCTCGTATAAATAACAATTTTAAATGCACGCACGCAGCTTGCGGGCATTGCGCGAGCTGCGTTTTCGCGGATCATTCTTAATCATCACCCTTTAATTTTAAGATAATTCAAAAGATGAAACAACATTTACTAGAAAAAGAGAGAGAGAGAGAGAGAGAGAGAAAACTGGCTGCAGTCAAATTTAATGTGACCAATGATAGTACTAGATGAGTACACAATATAAAAAGAATTTCTAGAACATGTTTTTTTTAATAACAATGAAATTTTAACAATTTTTTCTGAATTTGTTTCTACGTCGCTCATGTATAGAAGAAACATTAATTATACATATTATTATTTAGAATTAAAGCACTAAGAACCAAGTAAATAATGTTGTAAAATAGTTGTATTCGTAGCTATCGTTTTTGTACATGCAAAATTTATTGTTCTCTTATCAAAATACAACATCTTTAAATATATGAATGTCGTGTTAAAATAACGGTACCTTTTTCAGATCTCAGTTTTGTTTATGGTGGGTTTTGTATTAAATTGAGAAACAAAATATTCATTTAAATATACTGATCATAACGTAAAGTCAGTTAAAGATAACTACGTAGAGGTAATAAATATTATGAATAAGTTGGAATTTTCGGATAGGGCATCACAAGAAGACAAGAGACCACAGAAGTCCAAAAACAGATGAAATCATTTATGAAATTCAATGACGAGGTATCAAAGAAAGCAATATATGTACAAACAATCAGGATCATTGAACGACAGAACCCAAAATGGATTCCACATTAAAATTCATTTGATATATTAGATGCTGATGACGCAATGAAATAAGCAGGTTCCGATGAAGGCACAAAAAACAGTCGGAGAATAAAAACCTCATGTTTGGTAACTGCTTGCTTCAGACAAGGATTTGATCAGCTGTATAAGGTTAAAGAAATGATGTGTGATATTTATTCAGTGTTCATTGCAAATAGAATAAATACACTGAGAAACTGACGATATCATGGTTTGGAGATAAATTGAAATGGATGTATAGGAATGGCCAATCAAGATGGACTCAAGACTAAATGCAGAAGAAACTGCTACAAATTGAAATAACATAGTAGTACCTAACAATAACAATTTAACGTAAACAAGGAAAACAAATACCGGCTGATATTCGAATGTTTGTGATTTTAAGTTGGATACAGTTAAGTAGTTGGATACCTATAGTTAGAAGGTCTAGCAAAGTCTGTACATGTGCATTGTGCATGATACTTCATCTAGCGCAGATTTTTAAGAATCTTTGTAATAACAGAGGATTAAAGGTTGTTAAACCTTATTGTCCGAAATTGTAGGTTGCAAGTTGCAATATGGTAAAGAGAGTCCAAAAAAAATTCACATAACTTTATCAGTTTAAAATGCTTCATGGTTTAACTCTAGACGTTGAATACTAATATTTAACTTTTGTTTCAAGAGAATTGTGGTTTTTATGGATTCATGGTTAAATGTACTTTAGTGCATAATTAAGCTTGCGTCGATTTTAGGTTCTATATGCTAGTCTTACCAAATAATGTGTGTAGCTTGAACGTTAAAGTTTTAAAATGCTGTTAATGACAGTTTATGGTTTGTCCTATCACTTCTAAATGGCTCATTGTGTAGACGTTCAGTACATCATACACATTTGCGAGTTTCCTCACAATGTGTAAACATAAGTGAATGGAGACATAAAAATGTCAAAAATATGTAATTTAATGAAAATTAATGGTGTACAAACAGCTGCAAGTGTTCTCAGCGCACGAAACATTTACTTACATGGTATATTCTCAAGGAAATGTCTTAATTTAACATGTTAGTAAGTAACAATTTATTTGGAAACTTTTTATGGAGAAACATAATATCAGAATTATTTACTATCGTGTGAGTTTCCAAATACTAAATATGGATTCAAATTACTTAGAAATCCAACAAAACAAAAACGGTTATAGAAACAACCACGTATTATGTTACGTGTATTTGAAAACTAAAACCGATTTTGACGTCGACGAGAGATTGCCGTGAGCCTCGTTTGAAAGAGAATCAAGTCTATTGTTGAGATTTAGGAACTTGGACGAGTATAATGGACTGATGTGAACGAACCAGTCGAGTATTAACCTTGACAGATGATCTGAGATTTGTAATTCACTGCCCCGAATTTGATTTTAATATATTCAATCATGTGTTGAGAATGGACGTTGATATTGGTAGAATGTCTACAGCAGACATGGTTTGGTAATATTGCTGGTATGTTTCCAGGGAGCCTAGATGATGAAATTGAATATTTTGGAAAAGTAAGAGCTAAGCAACACGTCTTTTTAAATCGTATTGAGGGATAGAGTGAAAAATTTTCCAATGGAAGTTGAATTATTTTAAACAAACTGAGCAGAGTTAATTTAAAGGCTGAATTTGATGATGATTAGTCCCAGAATAAAAATATGTATTTAACGAATAACTTCCAATTAAACTAATTCATCAACATTTTTATTTTTTAACTTAACGATACAGGCCAAATGTCAATTCTGGCCAATTATTTTTGCTATTTTTGTGGTCGTTAGTGCACAATACAGCAGTATTTTTTTAATTACTCGTGTGCACAATGACAAATTTGACATTGTGATGTTATGTTGGTGCGTTATCGTGAGATTTCGAGGATATTTAACATTTTAGAACGTTTGTTAGAATAGGCACGTCGACAACAATGTGTTGGAGCGGAAAGGAAACGCGCAAGTAAATATTTTGAGTAAGAATTATTCTTACCTCTTGTGTTTTTGTACGTAAGTTAATATAACATTTGTATTATTTAAGAGATAGAAACTGATTTGGTGTCGTTTTTGACTTAAAACAAAACTGACTAGCAGAAATATTCAAGATGTTCTGAATAACATAGGTTATATAATATGAATTTGATATTAATAGGTGGTTAAGAAATAACGATTTT